AATGCAGTATGATACTGTTCCGATGTCTTTCTAAATCAAAAAGAAAACATGAATTCAAGCTTTTTACTGTTAATACGCCTTTATATCTGGACCAGGATTATTTATCATTCGTTTAATCATATATAATATATAATCATAGATGGTGGAGGAAAATTTTCTTGAATATGATTTTAAACCATGACGAAACCTACCCTGCAAATTAATATTGTATAAAATAAATTAGCTATTGATAAAATTATATGTAATTTATATCCGCTTGTCATGTTTGACGTTGCACTTTCCCAGCTCGACAGTAACCCTAGTCGCCAAAATCCGCCGCCATCGTCGCGTCCTGGCCAGAAAACGCCATCCTGAAGTAAAACAAACTGGTTTTGGGGTACTATAGCGCAAACTTGCGACGTGTGAATGCCCAAAATCAGTCGCCCCAAGCGCAGAGTAATGTACTAGTGGTCAGCACTAATCACACGGCTCCGTGCATTCTGCATGCGGAGTCGGCGCCAGTACACCAGAGCCTGAAGGAGAAGAAGGCGAGCGCTGCCTGAGGAGGTAGCCTGACTCTATGGGACATACCGAGCGGCTACAAAAGCGTTACAAATTGCTATAGCCAACGCCAGGTCTCGGTCATGGAAAGAGCTACTGGAGGGACTCAACAAAGATCCTTGGAGACGCCATACAGGATGGTGATAAGCTCCAGCCTTGGTCGCCCCACTTGACGGAAACTCTAGATTCGGATCTGATGCGAAGGGTGATGAACACGCTCTTCCCAGAGGACCAATCAAGTCCCTCAGGAACCGTTAGCCGCTTAAAAGCTCGGAACACAGAATCGGGGTCCGATGGAATACCGGGCCGGGCCCTAGTGCTGAGTCTGGCTGCCTTGGGGGACTTAGTCAGCTGTTTTCCGGCTGTCCGCGGTGCGCCACGTTCCCCACAGCCTAGAAAGAGGCAAGGTTGGTTATTTTCAAGAAGGAGGGCAGGGCTGCTTATTCTTCCTCCTCATACCGATCCACATGCCTGTTGGACGAGTTTGGCAAATTATTTGTAAAGTTGTAGAGCCATGCTGTAGCTATATTGTGGTTGCAGCATGAATGGGTTGACTCGACCGCGGTAGGATCACGCTTCCACAGAATACCAGCATAAAATAGCAGCGCAATGCTGTTGTGTTTCATATGGTGAGTGTAGAGAACCTTTTTACTAGAAACGAGGCACTCCATTTCAGTCCTCAGGGGTAGCGGTGCATCTGCATTTTGATTCTTAATTGAGGATAAATGTAGACGTCTATGGGCCACAGCATCCACTTACCATCAAGTAGACTGTGTGCTCATTTGTTACCATTATTCTATAAAAAAATCGAGAGGATAGTTGCCACTCAGTTCAATAGGTGTCTGTCACGCGTCAGTCCCGATTTGGCCGCTAGCCAGTTTGGTTTCCGACGGTGGTGTTCCAATTTAGATGCGATTATACGCGTCCGTTCCTAGTAGGAACAAGCAGTATCCCAAGGTGGCGAGGCGTTGGCGATATGTCTTGATATCGTCTTTACCTTTAACTCTCTACCCTGGGTTGCTATCAGGAGGGCACTTTCCGGAAACGGCCCCGCAACGTCAATGGCTATCCTCTCCCATGGTGCACCAACATTGTACAATTTCAATGCGCCTCTACTACGAATTTGAGGTCCCTTTACAGCCGCACAACTTGTACATTTGCGGCACCAGTCCTCGACATGTCATCATGTCATCTGGTATATCATCATGTGTCCCCTTACCTGCTAGGTATTATCGGGGACTACTTGCACGAAAGGTATATTCTGTATATGGGGCAAGATGGCAGGAAGATCCGGAGGAAGATCAAACGTGAGGTTAAGCAAGCCTCGATGCTGGGGCCGCTACTGTGGAACCTCTCCTATGACGCGGTTCTGTGAATCGATCTTCCTGCTGGCGTAGATATCGTCTGCTATGCCAACGACATATTGGTGATTGCCAGCGGGATCACTTTCGAGAGGGATGAGGAGCTTGCCGAACTCGGGGCTCAAGTCGTCGTCGCCAAAATCCAGGAGTTTGGATTAGATATAGCGCCATACAAGACCGAGGCCCTATGGTTCCATAAATTACCATGGAACAGGGAACCACCCAACTCGTGTGTCCGTGGGTGAGGATGTACATGAAGTACCTAGGCCTCCACCTGGACAGTCGCTAGTGCTTCGAAGAATATTTTGAGCGCCTAGTCCCCCGGATCGAAAGGATAGCGGGTGTCTTTCTGAAACAAAAAGTTAACTAAAGTTATAAATTAACTTTTTTACTGGTAATACGCCTTCATATTAGGCCAGGATTGTTTATCATTCGTTTCAGTGACATATCGATGGCGGAGCAGAACTTATTTCAATATGACTTTAAACCACGACGAAACCCTACTCTGCAAATTAACAATGTAGAAAATAAATTAGCTATTGATAAAATTATATGTTTAGATCTGATAAAGCTAATCGTTGACTGCGAAAGAATGCCTTAATGTATTTGGTCCGACATATGTACGCTTTTTTTTGGAAAAATAGTTTAAATAAATAAAACAAAAGTAGTAATGGATGTTACTAAACTTAAACTGTATAAATTAAGTAACTTCTTAATTTATACAGTTTTCTGCTTTAATGTCAGTTTTGTTTGCTTTCTGACAGTCAGTCCCCTTTCCATGCATATTGATGAGATTATTTTCTTAATATCACTAGGACAAATTTATGTCAAATCATATCCATGTATTGCATTTGAAAATGATGTATTATATATGTTGATAACTACATGATTTTGTAAGGAAGTCAGTAAGTAGTAATTACTACACGATGAAACGCAATTTTTGATGGATTTGCCTTGCTTAGATTTATTGATATTTTAAAATCTAAGTATGTTAATATCGTATAGTGACTACTTTCTATAATCAAGTTATAATTTTAAGCTGCCATGCGTACCCAGTATTTTAAAATGAATTTTGATTTACTACAATCATTTGTCATAAAGACAATAATTTGTCATTATGACAAATATTTGTAGTAAATGGAACATTTGTCATAAAGTCCCATGTCTAATTTTGTCTTAATAATAAAACGTAAACTAAATCAAGTACATATAGCTAGAAGTTTTAAATACTAAAGTGAAAATAATAAATAAGTTCAGCAAAGTCTACTTTACTTCAAGAAAGTTTCAACGGATTTACAACTTTGACGTACTTGTTAAAGTAAAGATTGGTGGTCTCGCAAATTAGTTGATCGTTAGTTTCTAGCGAAGTTCAAAACGAACTATCGACCTTTAACTATAAACATCGAGTAAGTTCGAAGTAAGAGTAAGTTACTTGAATTTCGATATATCCCGTCGCTTAGCTAGCTCTAAGTTTACAAGCAAACTTTATGCAGCATTGTTTTATATCTTAATAAAACGTTTTATATAAAACCTACAATATTAATAAGCAGTCTTATTTCTATGCTGCAATATCCGCTGTTTTTCTATCGACTTCAAAAAGGAGAAGGTACTCTGTTTTTTTTATAGGAGAGGCGGCAAACGAGCATGCGGCTCACCTGATGGTAAGTGACTACCGCCGCCCATGAACAACTGCAACACCAGGGAGGGAATTGCAGATGCGTTGCCGGCCTTATAAAAATGAGTACGCTCTTTTCTTGAAGGTCCCTAAGTCGTATCGGTCCGGAAAAGTCGCTGGTGGTAATCGATTCCACAAGGAAGTTGTACGAGGGAGAAAACTTCTTCTAAAGCGCACAGTGGTGGACCGCCAATAATCCAGATAGTGTGGAATATCGGGTGTTCTGCCGCGATGTGCGTTCGTGAAATTTGGCGGCTGGAATTAATCCGAACAATTCCTCAGAGCACTCCCCGTGGTAGATGCGAAAGAAAATGCAAAGAAATGCAACATCTCTTCGCAGTGCCAATGAATCTAGCCGATCGGAAAGGACTCGGTCGTCGACGATTCGAGCCGCTCTGCGCTGGATGCGGTCAAGTGGAAGGAGCTGGCACTGGGGAGCCCTTGCCCAGAGATAGGAACAGTATTCCATGTGAGGCCGAACCTGCGCCTTGTAAAGTTGCAGGCGGTGTGCCGGCATGAAATACTGTCCCGCTCTGCTGAGCACGCCAAGCTTTTTGGAGGCCAAATTGGCCTTCTCTACCAAGTGACCACGAAACTGCACGTCACTCGATATGTCGACTCCGAGGATTCCGATACTGGCTGAGGCAAGAAGAAGAGTGCCTTGAAACTGAGGAGATACGACAAAGGGGTTCTTTTTAGCGGTAAACGCGCAAATTTGTGTCTTCTGAGGATTAAACTGGACTAAATTTAGTCGTCCCCAATCCGAGACTTTGTTCAGCAAAGACTCGATTTCAGACACAAGTTTGCTCCTGTACTCGGCGACGTTTTCCCGAGAAATATTGGCACGGCCGGTGTATAGAGCATCACCAGTGCTGTCATCCGGATAGCAATGAATGTTACCAGTTAGCAACATACGAGGGTGGGTCAATAAGTCCGTGACTTTAGGAATAAAACACAGATTTTTAGATAAATAAATCATTTTATTTTTCAACGTAGTCTCCCTTGAGCTCTATACACTTTGTCCAACGCTTCTCCAATTTTTTTATCCCTTCCGAAACCTGCGAGATGACTTCATAATTGGAGTCAAATCTTTTTCCACCAAGCCATTTCTTCAGGTTTGGGAACAAGAAGTAGTCACTTGGAGCCAAATCTGGAGAATAGGGCGGATGTGGGAGCAATTCATAGCCCAATTCATGGATTTTTGCCATGGCAACTGCACATGTGTGCACCCTTGCATTGTCTTGGTGGAAAAGAACTTTTTTCTTGGCCAAATGAGGTCGGTTTTTTTTTTTCAAATTGTCATTGAATCGGTCCAATAAGTTGGCACAATATTCCTCATTGATTGTTCTTCCCTTTTGAAGGTAGTCAATGTGGATTATCCCGCGTGCATCCCAAAAAACAGTCGCCATAACTTTATTGGCTGACTAACCCACCTTGGCCTTCTTTGGCGCCGATTCACCCTTAGAAACCCACTGTTTTGACTGTTGTTTGATCTCTGGTGTGTTGTGATGGATCCATGTTTTGTCCACGGTTACAAAACGGTGCAAAAACTCCTCCATATTGCGATTAAACAACGCCAAACCTTCCTGTGAAGTTGTTACACGATTGCGTTTGTGGTCGACTGTGAGTAAACGCGGCACCCATCTTGCGGAAAGCTTTCTCATGCCCAAGTGATTATTCAAAATTGAAACCACTGAGCCACGCGAGATTCCTACGGCTTCCACAATCTCTTGCACTTTCAATCTTCGGTCGGCCAACACCATATCGTGAATTTTTTTGATTGTTTTGGGTGAAGAGACCTCAATTGGGCGTCCAGAACGTTCGGCATCTTCAGTGCTTTTACGGCCACAATGAAATTCAGTTAACCATTTTTTTACCATTGAAATCGATGGTGCAGAGTCCCCATAGTATTTATCAAGCTTAGCCTTGGTCTCAGTAATGGTTTTTTTTTCGCAAAAAATAATGCTTAATCTCATAAAGATAGCTGTCAAACACAAACTAACTGACGCAGCAAGTTCAAATTTTGACAGGATTCAACTGACAGATGCCTGTTGACAGAAGTATTGTCGCTTTTTCAGTAAAGAGGTCAGAAATTCAAAAAGTCACGGACTTATTGACCCGCCCTCGTATCATTGATATGCAGAAGAAACAGCGTTGGTGATAGCACACAGCCTTGTGGAACACCAGCGTTTATAGGCTTGTAGTCGGAGCATGCACCGTCTACAACGACCTTGATGCTCCGATCTGCAAGGAAGCTGGTGATCCAATCGCACAATTTCTCGGGAAGCCCATAGGAAGGGAGCTTCGAAAGATGCCCTTTGTGCCAAACCCGATCGAAGGCCTTCGCAATGTCCAAATTAACGACCAACGCCTACCCCTTGGACCGCCCATCTATGGGTCAGGTAAAGCAGAAGATCACTAGCTGATCGACCCCGACGAAAACCGTGTTGGCGGTCACTAATCAGCTGGTGATCCTCAAGGTACCGCATGAGCTGGCAGTTAATAATTGATTCCATTATTTTTGAGAACAAGGAGGTGATCACGATTGGCCTATAGTTGGATGGGTCTGAGCGGTCGTCTTTTTTAGGGATCGGGTGGACAAAAGCTGTCTTCCATGAATTCGGGACTACGCCTTGGGAGTAGGAGTACTGGAAAAGACGCGTTAGGACCGATGCCAACTCCGGAGGCCACGTCCTCAGCACAATTGGGGGGGTTCCGTCAGGCCCACTCGACTTCTGGATGTCCAGGGAGAGAAGTGCTTTGCGAACCGAGCGCTGTGAGAACAGCACATCCGGCATGGAGCACTCACACCGCGGGATGGTCGGCGGTGTTTTCCCTCCGTCATCGAGGGTCGAGTTGGACGCAAAAAGGGAGCCTAAAAGGTCGGCTTTGTCTTTTGCGTCTTGGGCCAGTGAGTCGTCCTCCCTGTGCAGAGATGGTAGTGATGGCTTACAGAAATTCCCTTGGACAGCCTTGGCGAGAGACCAGAATGCACGGGTACCCGAAGGAAGGTGAACTAGTTTCTCGCCAATTCTGCCTATGTGCTCTGACTTTGCCTTGGCAATAACTCTTTTGAAGGACCTGGAGGCGAAATAATACTTCTTTTTAAGTGTGCTGGTACTGAATTGGACTGTAAGTTTTTTTTCTTTATTTTTATGTATTTTTTCTTTTTTTTATTTAAAAGCTAGTGCGTCTCATGTGGCACTATGTAAATTTGATTAAAGTCTAATCAATAGTTTTTGAGTTATTCTCAATAATTTGCCTTTCAAACAAAACTTTTCTCAGCCAACTTTTTGACTTGGCTTTCTAGATCAATTGTAAAAAATAATAATTTAAATAAAGTTAATAATAATTTAAAAGATCCGAAGTCGATGATGACGCTCATCATCGACTTCGGATCTTATAATTAACCAAGTGAAAGCTAGACATGTCACTGCAGAACTTCAACATATTGTGTTTTACTAATTCGATGATATCGGTTCTGCGCTCATCAATCCGTTTGAGCAGTTGATAAGTACTGGATTTAAAGAATTATGTCAGAATATATAATTCTTGGAAGAAGAAAACAGCCAATGCCACATATTCATTAATAAAATGGTTTCTCAAAAATGGCGTTAACGATTTTATGATTATTTTTATTTATGAAATGTTTTACTTTCCAAGTTTATTTGGATGGATGTCATCCCTGAGAAAATTGTTTTTGTTTCTTACGCCGAGCAAAACTCGGTCCGCCAAGATACTTTGTATTATTTGTACAATATGTTATTTATAAATATATTACAATTTTACCTTCTCATAATAATAATGCCCCGCATTGTGGTGGGTAAGAATACCCACTACCCCGTGTCTTTCCGTGGGTATCCTAAGAGGCGACAGAGGGAAACTGAGACAGAAGATAGATAACAGCAAACCAAAAATAAAAAAAACTGCGGTTGCCATCCCGCTAGCCCAGCGTAGTAACTATGGAAATATATAATAACGATGCCAGCGACGTACCATGGTCACCACCGTAGCCCCGCTATTCGTGGCTACGGTGGTGACCATGGTACGTCGGGGCAGGGCAGAATCTGCGGTTAAGGTTCAGTTCCTACCTAAGGCGACTCTACCTGGCAACTTATAACGCACGCACCCTGAGGACTGAAGAAAAGATCCTAGAGTTGAAAGAAGAGATAGACAAGTTGCGCTGGAATATTATAGGATTATTCGAGGTCCAAAGAGAGGGGGAAGACACGGTGATCCTGATGATCTGGCAACTTGTTCTATCATCGGGAGGGCGACCATCTGTCCCAAGTAGGTGTCGTCAGATTTATCGTCCACAAGTCTCTCGTTAACAACATTGTAAATATAGTCAGTGTGTCCACGAGGTTTGCGTATCTATTTAGAATCAAAAAACTGTATTCGTTGGAGATAATACAGGTTTACGCACCAACTTCGGCACATCCCGTTGAGGAGGTGGAGAAAATTTATGAGGATACAAAACCCACTATACAGTGTTAATTGGAGATTTCAACACAAAACTAGGCACAAGATAGAACGGTGAGCTGAAAGTAGGGAAATTCAGAATAGAGCAACGGAACGCACGGGGCCAGCAGCTGGTCTACTTTATGAAGAAAGAGGGATCTTTATGATGAAATCTTTCTACGAGCAAAAGCGGCCCCACAGAAAGTGTACGGGGTCGAGCTGCAACGGTTCGACATAAAATGAGATTGACTTCATTATGACGACCAGACGACAATTGTTCAATGATGTCTCAGTAATCGTGAGGATTAAAACTAGCAGCAATCACGAAATGGTGAGAGGTACACTGAACATAAATCTTAAGTTTTAGAAGTCGCATCTAATAAATGCAACGCTCCGTCCGCCTCGTACTTTAATCCAAAGCCCCAAAAAGTATCAGCTCAAGTTATAAAATAATTTTCAGGTTTTTTTATAGTATAGGGTGACAAACGAGCACATAGTCCACCTGATGGTAAATGGTTACTGCGGCCCATAGATATCTACATCTATCCTCGATTAAGAATTAATGCAGATGCATTGTCACCCGTGTGGACTAAGATAGAATGCCTCTTTTCCAGTAAAAAGGGTCTCCGGTTCTCTGCACTCACCATACGAAACACAGCAGGGTTAGGCTGCTGTTTTACGCTGGTATTCTGTGAGAGCGTGGTTCTTCCCCGGTCGAGCCGGCCCATTCGTGCTACAACTATATTACTAATATAGCTGCAGCATGGCTCAACTACGTTGAAAAAGTTTCAGTGCCTAAAATATTGCAATGAAGTGGCAAATATGAATGACAAGCTTGCGAAAACTATCCATGCGGTCGGGGCTAAGTTCTGTAAGACCCGTCGCCGAAGAACACAACAAATCACCGATCACACTCATAGTCTCATGGCTGTTAGATGAGAAATTAAGCAGCAGTTGTCAGTAAATTTGAAAGCATACAGGCATCTGAACAGACAGATTTCCAAATGGATGCGGCGGGACTTGCGCAACTTCAATACAGCTTATATTGAAGAAGCGATCGAGCGGAACCAGGGTTTCAAAGTCTTTGTTAGAGATCTGTCTGCCAGAAAGAGCCAACTGTCGAAGCTGAAGACCGAATATGGAAGCATCGTTTCCAGGACACCTGAAAGTTTGAGTGAGATTGAGAGGTTCTATTGGCAGCTGTACACATCAACGTTGGAGTCACACGTAAGTGTGAGTAACGATCCTAGAGCAATTCTTATCCGACACTATTTCAATGATATTCCGGACTTCAGTCTGAGCGAGATAAAAATGGCTCTCCAGCACCTTAAAAACGGTAAGGCCCCAGGTGAGGATGGAATTACAGCGGAGCTTCTGAAAGCGGATGGAAGACCGGTACTTGAAGTCCTTCAGAAGCTTTTTATTCCGTCCTCCATGGTGGCATTACACCGGAGGCGTGGAGCAGAAGTGCGGTGGTCTTGTTCTTCAAGAAAGGTGACAACGCTCTCTTGATGAACTACAGACCGATTTCTCTTCTGAGCCGCGTCTACGTGCTGTTTTTGAGAGTCATTACGAATCGTCTCGCGCGCAGATATGACGACTTCCAGCCTTCCGAACAAGCCGGTTTCCGAAAGGGCTTTAGCACCATAGACCACATACATACCTTTCGGCAAGTTGTACAGAAGTCCGAAGAGTACAATTTGCCACTATGTCTGGCGTATGTGGACTATGAGAAAGCCTTTGATTCCGTCGAAATTTGGGCGGTGCTGCAGTCCCTTCAGCGGTGCCAAGTTGACTGTCGGTATATCGAAGTGTTGAAGTGCTTGTACAGTAGGGCTACGATGGCTATCCGAGTACAGAACCAGAGTACGAAACCTATCCAATTGCAGAGAGGTGTAAGACAGGGTGACGTCATATCCCCGAAACTCTTCACCACTGTATTGGAAGACGTTTTCAAGCTTCTGGACTGGAAAGGATACGGTATCAACATCAATGGCGAGTACATCACTCACCTTCGATTTGCCGACGATATAGTCCTTATGGCATAATCGCTGGACGGCCTAAGCACTATGCTCAATGACCTCAATAGTGTTTCCCAACGGATAGGTCTTAAGATGAACATGGACAAAACAAAGATCACGTTTTATGTCCATTTCACACCTATGCCGGTAGTTGTTGGGAGCACTAAGCTCGAAGTTTTTGGCAAGTATGTTTACCTGGGATAAATAGTCCGACTAGGTAAGTCCAACTTCGACCGAGAGGTCAATCGACGGGTTCAACTCGGCTGGGCAGCGTTCGGGAAATTACGACACATCTTCTCGTCAGACATACCTCAAAACCTTAAAACGAAATTGTGCAACCAGTGCGTGTTGCCAGTGATGACTTACGGATCTGAGACGTGGTCCTTCTCTGCTGGCCG